AGGTTTTCTTCCTACTTAAGGTCAGCCTCTTTTTGATCTTTTTTTCATCTTTTGTTTTTTTTCCTTACTTTACTGTTGCTCATGCTGATTTTTTTTTTTTCTGATTTAGAAGTGTTCTTTGGTTTTTTAGGCATTGAGGAACCTCTGTACTTCCCCACTACCAGCACCTCACCAGCACTCTGTCTTTCTTTTCAAATTCTTGCCCAGGTGACACATATTAGGAGCTGATCACAGGTGCAACACAGAACCACTGCACAGTGCCTCCATTTTTTTAAAATTTTTTTTTTAAAGTTGCTCTTTAAAATAGTTATTTTTAGAGAAAGGTGTCCATATTCTTGTGCTTCCCCATAGAATTATCAGCTTCTTTCTTTGTGGTCTGGAGGATAGTGATAGCAATGAGGAGCCCTGCAGCAATGGCCCCACTCTTCCCCTCACATTCACCTGCTCTGGCACAGCTTCCCTGCCCCTGGCCTAGGAGCAGAATCAGCACTGAGGACCAGCAAGTGAAGGAGAGGAAAGACTCAGCTCTTTCCTCTCCTCAAGTCCATGGAGTTGCAGGAGTGAGAGGCAGTCCTGGTCTGCTTGGATGCTGGAGGGAGGGTGTGGACCATACTCTCATTTTCAGTGTAGAGATGACATCTTGGCTCATTCAAAGAATTGGTTAGAGGGCAGTGCTTTAACAACAGGTTGAGGGAAGGGTTTGTGTCTAGTGATGCCCCATTGAGAACAGAAAGTCAGGTACAGAGCTGCAAGTGTACAGTATTGTTTGCCTTTTCCCCAACAGGAGTATTTAAAAGCCTTCTTGTGGATGACCTGCTTCCCACTGGCAGCTCCATCTCTCCAATATTATGACTTTGCAGAGCTTTTGGGTGCAGTTAATTTTGAAGTTTGAGGCAAAACTGGAATGCTGAAGGGTAATAGTTCTATCTAACCAGTTTTCTATGTTGTGCATTTACTATAAGTCTGTACAGAATGTGGAAAACTCAGGCCGTGCTAGGAACATTTGAAATGCTCTGCTGTTCCCTCTTGCCCACCATCTGGGGATAAAACCAGTCCTTCCCACAGTCTCATTCAAACCTCCCCACCCCTTCTCACTAAGACACTGAGAAGTAGAAATAGCATACCAGAAATGAATTACACTTAATTTTGTGGTTTAGACTTCAGGCTTTATTTTTGTTGTGATTTAAAACATGTAATTCTTTTGACAGTTATTCCAACCTCAGATGCTCAGGGAAATGTAGTAATTGAGTTCTCTTAATAACATGAACAAAAATTAACTTGATGATTTTATCCATGTTATTTCAAGAGCTTTCTCTAATAATGGTCAGAACCTTATGTTTTCTGCAAAATGTATTTGATCTGTCTAATAGTGAATCCTTGCTTTTGAAATGGGCAGCTCTTCTCTCTGGTTTTGCTTCTCTTGTGCTGATAAGTGGCACCAGTATTTCCTCTCATAATCCACTTTATTGGTATAATGGAATCAAAATCTCCAGTTTGCCTTAAATCCCTCCCCTTCAATTATCCTCATAATCCTTTTTTTCTGTTAATTTGTTTCTTTCATTGTTGGGGAGGATGAATAAATATAATTGCCTGGCAAAAGATTTACAATAGTACAGCCAGGATGAAAACAATCCCCCCTACTGGCTGGACAATACCCTTACATACAGATAGGTCCAAAAGTCAAATGGACTGTTCTATCTCAACCCCCAAAATGTATGGTTCACCCCACACCTGTAACCCTCCCCTGAAACATCAAGTGTCTGTGACCCCATTGGCCCAAGTCTTGTTCCAGCCCACCCTGAAGCCCCCTGATAAGGGGTCCCTGAGGAGCCAGACGGCCTCTTGGAATTCCCCCTCTCTTGGAACCCCTACCCTCATAGAACTTCCACCCTCTCCTGGAGCATCCTCTTGTCTCCCTCTACCCCTTGTCTCTCCCCTCCTCCATCCCCTCAGGCCTTGCCACGTGCTGTGTCTGGCAGCTCCAAGCAAGACCTTTCTCCATCCCTAATAACCTGATATCCTAAGAGCAGCCTTCAGAGATCTCTCGTCTCCATTCATCCAAGCCGTCCTGGAGCACAGTATCCCCGCATTTCATAAATTTAAATGGGCTGCTCATGTTTACACAGATTGAGAACACCTTAGTGTTCTTAGAAGAGGGTGGTAGATGCAAGTATGAGCCTTTTTCTCTTAAGCACATCTTGTCAGTGACTTTTGTTACCTGGAGATAGGTCCATGATTTTGAGGTCTGGTTGTTTAAATAGAACTATTTTATGAGGTATGATGAGGTTCAGATTGCAGTATGTCCTTTGAAGCTGCAGTGGCAGTGACCATTAGTCTTGTTAAAGTACAGTTACACTGGTAAAAGGAACAGTGTAATGGTTTCTATATTTGAGCGGATTAATCACTGAAAAATGTTCACATTTCTAATGTTAAATTTAATTACAAGGTTGAGAACCTGTCTTTTTTTTATTTTCCTACTTATTTCTGTGGTGCTATTTAAAATTCATCTTCCCATTCATTATTCTGATAGAGTTTAAAATGGCTGCTAGCTATTCTGAGACCTGTGGCTTTGCTAATTAACTATGATGATCAGAGATGGTCAAGAATAACTTGGCAAAGACAGAATTTAGAAATGCTGATTTATTTAAATGATACCTTTCTGTGTCAATATCCAAACCTGATAAATACCCTACTGGGTGTGTCATTGCTTGGTGCTGTGAGGGTCATTTCCAGGCCCTGGCTGCAGAACAGCTGGTGTTAGGGCAGTAACCTGTGAGATGGCAGGTGTGATCAAACCTCTGGCTTGGGAGCTGAGGCAAGGAAGATTTTGAGCCATGTTTTATCCTGCACGTGTGCGCTGTAACTAACGGTGTTCTGCCTTCCATGTTATCTCTCTCTGCTTTTGACCCCATTCCTGACAGTCTTGAGTCCTGTCGGTAGGGATGTTCTCAGGGCCTGTAAGTGCTGTTTATCAGGAGGTTGATGCTTGATAGGTTTACTTGCTGAAACACTTTCAAAATTAATTCTCTCATGTTCCAGAAGTTTGGTGGTTGTGCAGCCAAGCATCCACTGGTGAGCAATTCCTCTGCTTTGTTTTTGTTTCTCTCAGGGTGTAGATGACATCTGTTTTTCTAAATCTGACTCTTCTTCCTTGTTTACCTGCACAGTGTGCTCATTTTCAGCCCTGTGGCTGACATAAGTTTGGGAGTTTGCTCCGAGTTGCTGTGGTGGCTGGGCAGACCAATCAGACTGTGTTGCCTTCACTGGTGCTGGTGTCAGTTCATTACTTTGGAGTTACTCATTCTTTCTGCTCTGCTGCTTTCTTCTTGTGCCTTACTTGCCAGTTTCATAGGCTAGTCCCCTGAACACTGACCTGATGGTTGTTTAGCAAGTAGTTCCTCTTCTTTCACACAGAGGAAACAATGCCTTTTCAAGTCCTCGCTGCTTTGGTACTAATGTGACACTCAAATATTTATTTAATAAAGTTGACACATCTAGACAGCTTTCCCCATTTTGCATGGAAAGGAAAAATAAATGCCCCTCTGAGGCTGCATCTCACAGCATGAAGCTCTTCCCTGGACAAATGTGCAGGCAGCCCCCTGGGCACTGCAGGGCATAGGTGAGGCTGCCTGTCCTCCATCCTTCCCAGCTTCCTCCTCTCATCTGCCACCACATCATGTTGGCCATCATGTTGCACCCCCTGCAGCAGAGCAGCCCCCACCATGGCACATCGCACTGAGCCTTGGGGCATAACCTTCACGGTGTGAGACACCTGGGATCTTTCAGATGTGGTAACAGAGCCCGCAGCCTGCATAGGGAATACCTTGCTCAAATATTTTCCTTGAATTAAGCCATGTTTACAGACTGATAAGAAATACTAGAATCCCAGGGACCTTCAAAACAGAAGGTTGTGGGGATTCTTGGGTTTGTTTTACTTTCTTTATTAGAAACAGCTGTTATTTCCTTTGTAGATTGTTTTTAATGAATTTTAAATGAAGGAATAACTGTTGATTATGTGTAAGAAAAAATAAAATTAAAGCATACTAAATTGCTAAAGCAGAGCTTCTCTATACTATGAAATTCTGATACCAGCACCTTGACTTAGAAACTATTAATGACAGGGCTGTGTGTAGCTTATGAATTAAGTAACTTCGTGTACCTTTTCCTTTGGCTTGCAGCTGAAGGAAGCAAGTGCACAAGAGGGCACATTCTTTTGTTGTTGATAGCATTCCGCCTTAACGAGAAGGAATTTCTTGCCTATTGCCCACTGTTCATGAAGTGGAAAAAGATCACAAGTTGTATAATCTCTGTATATATCATTATATTTATTCTTTTTTAACATTTCTGTCATGGGTTGGTCCATCCTGCAGCAGGTGCAGAGAGTGGGTGCTGCACCTATGTTTTGTAACAGACTGGTGTGAAGTTGAGGAGGGGGTGTGGGAAGGGGAAGGGGAGGGACTCGGGAAGAAGCCCCCCCTCCAAGTGTGACAGCAGCAGCAGCTCTGAATACAGTTTGGTTTCTGTCTCTCCGGAGCTTTGCTCAGCAACCAAAGCCAGACTCCAGGTGCAGTATTCCCTCATCAGTCTGTGAGCATAGAAACGAAGAGTCCCTCCTCTTCTTCCTTCCCTGCCAAGAGTTTCTGGGTGGTGAATGTCAGTAGCTGGAGTTATTTTTAAAGGCAATAGGTGAGGCTTGTCGTGCAAAGCTAGGAAGAGGGCGTTTGTTTGCTGAGCAGAGCTGACATCAAAGTGGAGATTGCTGCCTACTGGCTCACTGCTGCCTTATGCCAGGTAATCTTTAACATACCCCTCAGTCCCTGCGATCGCAGCCCAGCTTGCCTGTGTGCATGAGAAACAACCAGCGTTTATGATCCAGAAGATTGCTTTTCCAGTTTCATTTATGTGAGCTGGACTTTGACATTTAAAGGCTAGTACTAATCGTCTTGTAAAATCTGCTTAGTGCTCTTAACTGAGCAACTGCTTTCTACTTCTCTTTGCAGGATAATATAAATGTTTTTCTGAAAGCCTGTGAAAACATTGGACTGAAAGAAGCTCAGCTTTTTCACCCAGGAGATCTTCAGGATTTGTCCAATCGAGTTACAGTCAAGTGAGTTTTGTGGTTTTGTTTTCTCCTTTCCCTTCTCCCTCTAAGCTCTTTCACAGTCTATTTTTTTTTAATGTTTGCCTATGGAAAATTCTTATTTTAATCTGGTATGAGCAGTTTTGAATACTGTGGTAAGGGTTTAAGCCTTGTTAAAGCTAAAGGATTAGACTTGCAGAAATGTAATTTAAAAAATGAAGTAGTATTATAATAGCTACCTTACAAGGAAACTAATTGTTAATGAATATTTACAGCATTTAATCTGAGATGGAAACTGTCATTTTATTTTAGACTTGGAGCAAAATTGTTAAATAATATCAAAGGCATTACTTTTCTTTATGATTTGTGATTACCGATCTAAATCTGAAAGGCTGAGGTGGTACTTCTGATACTTATCCAAATGGATTTGCGGCACAGGTATAGTGTGCCTAAAGGTCTGCTGGTCTTGCCACTCCAAGTATTAATTAGATGTTTGTCTCTGAGTGTCACATGCCCTGTCAAGGGGTGTGTGTGAGTAGAAATTAAGTACTGAATTTCATGTAATTGGCATATTTATGGAGATGGGAGTTTTCCTGTGGAATAGCAGTGGCTTGGTTCTAAAATATATTTAGTGGATTTTCATATTTCAAGACTGCTCTGTCTCCTAATAAGAATTTTATTGCCAGTTTCTGAGAGATTAAGGTGAAACTTTACTGTGCAGGCAGGTGTTCTAAGATAAATGAGTTGAGGTAAAAATCATCCTAGGGCACATCGATTTGTTACAGTGTTAACTGTTTTTATTATATTGGGACAAAAGGGTGGATTTATTGTCTCTAAAAAAAATAAAATCTTTAGTGGGTTTTGCTGGAAACCTGTCAAGTTAAATGTGAAGGATTGATTCCTGTCTTAAATTACCAGTTTTATCAAAGAGGAACAGGCAGTAATCCTTCTGTAAATACAAGGAAAAAATACTGTGATATGACATGTAGCTGCTTTAATTAGAAAGAAATCTCTCATAGGTGGGTTGAGTGGTAGCCTGTTGACATTCTCTCTGCCTGGTTTCAGAATGAAAGTTCATACTGTTTTGAGGTCTGATATGTGAGATGGCAATGTGTTTTCCATCTTTGACTCATACCCGAAACGTAATTTCTCACTAATCTGCTGTTTAGGGACTTGGCACACTTCCAGGACATTGGTATTCTGTCTGCCAGTTCCTACATCATGCCAAAAGCCGGAGGGTTGGTAACCTCTGCCGTGCTTAAATTACTCACAAAGCCCTAGCAAAAGTTGTTTTGGTGGAAGTTTGCACCAAGGGTATGAGGGTTGGAGGGAAGGGTTGGAGGCGGTCAGGAGCTGGTGTTCAGCGTCAATAGTGACAAGCTGGAACCCCAGGGAGGCTGAGATAGCGAACTGTTGTGCAAGGTAGGTTGTCCAACTCGTCCCGACGTTAAACCGCGGCGCCCAGGAGAGGTCAGCTGTGAAATCCATCCAGTGGGTCTGTAACCAAGGCTCTTTTTGGGTCTTTCAGCACCGCCAGTTCCCTTCCCGGCTTTGTGAGCAGAGAGTAAGGCTGGAATTTGAAGTTGTCACGAGGCAACAATGGTTTTATATCATACCTTCTCAGCAATGGTTTAATTAGTGTTTTCCAAAAAAGCAGATTTAACTATTGACTGCTTCTTATGGACAGCTGTGTGGGGGGTCTGGGTTAGAGTCAAAAGAGCTGCCAGCCATACAACCATGTTCTTGTAATTTGTTTCAGTATGACTTTGCTTCTCCACACATTATATATCATATGACAGTCCCAGAGTGTGTATTAAATGCTTCCAGAGTAATTCAAAACTTCTGTATCTGAGCATGCATGTATCTGAGTAAAGTGGTGTCCTAAATATACTAGTACTTTTGATGTAGGTAGGAGGTTGGAGAGGGATGGGAAGCAAGTTTTATTCCAAGAAATGAAAGAAGTAAGTTGCACAAAGATAACTCTCTCCATCAAAAAGTTAATTACAGAAATAATTTTATTGCCCAGAGGGCAAGCTATTCTTCAGAAGATTTTCAGATTTATATTTGTGTGAGGAGAGAAATGTTGTCTGATCAGGATTTTTATCTGATGTTTCTTTTTTATTATCTAATAGAAATAAATCATTTCATACATTCAAGCTGAATTAAAAATGTCTTCAAAACTTGTAGGATGCCAGGCCTCAGAAAAGGGGTGCTATTTCATGTCTTGCTTTTGTCTTACCCACTGTTAACTCTAGTTTCATAATTAGAAGTAAATTATTTCTTGTCACCAAGAAGGAAAACTTTTCATCTGCTGACATATTCAAAAGATTACATTTAACTTTTGGATTTCTAACATTCCTAAGCAAATTCATTTTGCTGCTGTCACCGGAGGCTAATTGCCCACATCTTAAAGCAGCTGTGATCTGTTGTATGGGATAACATTAATGTGTGCCTGAAGCAGTGTGTATTTTGACACCACAAGAGGACTGCTGTGTTCTGCTGTTGCACCGCTGTTAACACAGGTTTTTTTATCTACCCAAAATAGATTAAATAAACTGTTGCTTAGAAAAGTCAGCTTAACAGACTGGGGTGGCAGAGAACAGGGTGCTGGTAGGACATGCATGTACTGTCAGGTATGACAAGGTGCTTGATTTGCCTTGGATGTCGAAAATTGGTCAGAGGAAGGTACCATTAAAAGGGTGGGTCTGCTTCTGCTGCTAAGAGGCCACGAGAGTTGTCATCTTATGTAAGAGCAAAACCAGTCTTTCACACTGACTGGGAGGTTGCATCTCTGTCCCTGTTACCCTTGTTCAATTGATCTGACACCTCTGTGCTGAGCAAGTCCTCAGGAGGAACAGCTCCCTTTTGAAGTGGATGAGCTGTGTGAAGTGGTGTTCCATGTGCTCCTGCCTCTGCTGCCTGGCAGTTATGTGTGGTATCTCCTTTTTACCTTGTGGGAAGTCATATGCCCTCAGGCTGTTGCCATCTGACTGCCATCCTGTGCCCCCTGGGCAGGCTTCCTTCCCAACAGGAAGAGTTATTTTCTCCTTGTACTTTATTCCAGAGTGTGCTTGCTGCCTTTTGCCATACCTTTGCTGGCAGCACTTTGTCTGATGAACACTGCCGCAAAGCCATTCAGAGTTACTAAACTGTTACATGGTGCAGTGTTCTTGTGTCACCTGAGTTAAGGTCAAGACCCTCAGTTCCTCATGAACAGAATCTGTTCCGAGAAAATAATCTTTCTATCTGGTGAGGAGGCTACAACTTTCACTTGTATTTTGTTTTCTCTTGCAACTGAGATGATGCACAGGCATGATGTGAAACCCTCCTCTATAATTACTAGAAGTAATCTGGGGCAAGAGAAGCAAGAATCCCCTTATATACCCAGACTTTCAGTTCCAAGTGATTATCCTTTTTGCAAAGAAAAAGCTCCTTAAAGTTTTATTGCTTAGAAGTTTGTGTGAAAAAGCCTGGCTAAAATTACCACTTGCTGCTCCAACCCTTGCAAACTTTATGCTTTGCCAGATCAGCAAGATTAGTAGTTGGGTGGTGTGGAAAAATGGTCATGGCATGGATGATTTCTTCTCTGCTAGTAAAAATGGGAGTGTGGATTAGTGTCTGAGATTTATAGTTCAGTCTTTCTGTAAATCTGCAGAAGTTATTCCTCAGTGGTATAGTACAGCAATATGTCATGTGTTCCAAGAAGGATCATCCAGATGGGCTTATTCCTCACATACGCTGTCTGGCAGTCATGTGCATATCATCTTGTTCAGTGGCTAGTTATTTGTGTAAATGCATGTGTGTCCCTCTTCAGTTCTTTTGGTATATTTGATTTTTGTTTCTCAGTGTAGTGTTTTATTATTTCTAATTGGAGATGTTTTAAAACCCAGCAGATAGAGTGAAGGTTTTAAAATTTATTTCTACTAATGCTAGATTGTCTTAATGCTTCATTTGATTCTTTTTTGGTTCTGTCAAAGTAAGAATGTAATACAAGCTTAGTGACTCTCTGTTGTCAGCATGGTTGCTATTTAAAAACATTAAGCACTTCCTCACCCAGCTCTTTAGGCGTGACACACCCAGTTGTTCCCAGCTGTGGAGGGGTTCTTAATAAAATCACACCATGGAGTTATAAGGCAGAGTTCACATAGTCAGACACCAAGCATCAATTCTGATGGAGTTTGTTATTGAAATTATCAGTTTTAAAGGAGGCAGCCTGAATGATCAGAGAGAGAGTGTAAATTCAAATTTGTCTTGGAAGCAAATTAATTCTTCTACATGAAAAAAATTACAATTCTGTAAAATGAGATCTCCAGTTGAAGAATATAATTAAATTCTAATATTAAATTTAAAAAATGGTGAGTTAATAGATTAAAATATTAAACTAAAGGGAAAAAAAGAAGAAAATTTACTGCAAAATCCTAAATAGCTAACTTTTTTGAAGCTACCACAGCCCTGACTTCTGAGGTTGAAGTTTTACCATACTAATTTTATTTTTCAATAAGAGAGCAAATTAAAATACTTGGCTGCCACTAATATTATTACTACATTGTTATATTTAGAGTATGTCTTGAATGAAACTAAAAACTGAGGCCCCACCTGGAGCACTGTGTCCAGCTCTTAGGCACCCACCACAGGAAGTATGTGGGCCTGCTAGAATGACTCTGGAGGAGAGGGCCATGAAGATGAGCAGGGAGCACCTCTCCTATGAAAACAGGCTGAGAGAGCTGGGGCTGTTCAGCCTGGAGAAGAGAAGGCTCCAAGGAGACCTTGCAGCACCCAAAAGGAGCCTAAAAGAAAGAGGGAGAGGGACTCGTCATGAAAATGCATAAGACAAGGGGTGATAGTTTTAAACTGTAATAGGCTGGGTTTAATTTTAGATATTGGGAAGAAATCCTTCACTGTGAGGGTGATGTGGCACTGGAATAAATGGAGCTGTGGACGCCCCATCCCTGGAAGTGTCTGAGGCCAGGTTAGATGGGGCTTTGAGCAATCTGGTCTGGTGTGGAAAGTGTCCGTGCCCATAGCAG